CAATATCTTTGCTAGCCGAAAATCCGCACCAAGTAGAAATACTACTTGTGCATCCAAAAACCCTTAAACTCGTTTCATGTCATGAGAGTCTACTATACCTACCTATTGGATTGAGTAAGATCCTTCAAGTAGGTTGTCATCGGTGCATAAGGAAATAAAAGTTGCTCCTAAATATGTATGATCTTTTATTGTAACAGAAAATAAGCATTGTACGATCTTGTGATGGTAGAGAAATAAAAGCAACTGACTGCATAATAAAGGTTGCTATCACAAGGGGAAATATAAAGTGACGTTCCTTTGCATTAAGAGCTCGCACATCCAAAAATAAAAAGCGTGTGACAACCTCTGCTTCCCCCTGCGAAGGGCCTATCTTTTACTTTAGTGTATTTATTTTTCATGCAAGAGTCAATAGTGTTCTTCTCTATTCCTTTTTTTCTCTTGCAAGCATCATGTGGTGGGGAAAGATCTTGACACATATATCTAGTTGGATGTGAGTGATCATGAGTTATTATTGTTGACATTACCTTCAAGGTAATTAAATGAGTTGGGAGACAAAATTATAAGCCCCTATCTTTCTATATGTCTAACTGAAACTTTTGCTCCATATATATGTCATGAGTGTCAGCAATCATAGAAGACTAAATGATAGTTGAGTATGTGTACTTGCTAGAAAGCTCCTACATGAGACTCTTCCTGAAAAGATGATGAATTGTAATTGCCTTGTTGAGTGAGAACATAGTTTGTTAGTTTTCAAGAAAGTTTATGCCTTGTACTTTGCTATTGTGATGAATTGTTACTTGCTCATAAGAAGTTATATGATAATATATATTGATGCTATAACAATGATCATGATGCTTCTATGTCCGTGTTTTGTTTTATCGACACCTCTCTCTCTCTCTAAACATGTGGTCATGATTATCAATATCGGCTTTCACTTGAAGACAAGCAAGGTCTAAGCCTGGGGGAGTTGATACGTCCATTTTGCATCATATTTTCCTACTGTTATTTATAATGTTTTTGACCAATATAATACTTTGTGGAGCAATTCTAATACCTTTTCTCTCTTAATTTTCAAGATTTACATGAAGAGAGAGATTGTCAGCAGTTGGAATTCTGGACTTGAAAAAGCTATGTCAGAGATACATATTCTGCACATCTCCAAATGAGCTAAAATTTCACAGAGAATTATTTTAAAATAAATAAAAAATATTGGAGAAAAGAAATACTAGAGGAGGCCACCCAGGTGCCCACGAGGCACTAGGGGGCGCGCCCTGGTGGCTCATGGGGCCCCTGGCCAGCCTCCGGTGCCCATCTTATGGTCTATAATCCCATTTGCCCTAAAAATAGAGAGATGACTTTCGGGAAGAAGCGTTGCGGTCTCGAGGTGAAACCTGGGCAGGAGCGCTTTTGCTGTCCGGCGGAGCGATTCCGTCGGACATACTTCCCTCCTGGAGAGGGAAATCGAGGCCATCACCATCACCAATAGCCCTCTCACCGTGGGAGGACCAATATTCATCAACATCTTCACCAGCACCATCTCATCTCAAACCCTAATTCATCTCTTGTATTCAATCTTTGTATCAAAACCTCATATTGGTACCTGTGGATTGCTAATAGTGTTGATTACATCATGTAATTGATGCTATTTGGTTTATTTGGTGGAAGATTAAATGTTAAGATCCTTAATGATATTCAATACCCCTCAGATCTTGAGCATGAATATGATTTGTGAGTAGTTACGTTTATTCTTGAGGACATGGGATAAGTCTTGTCATAAGTACTCATGTGAATTTGGTATTCGTTCGATATTTTGATGATATGTATGATGTTTATTCCCTTAGTAGTGTCGTGTGAACATCGACTACACGACACTTCACAATATTTGGGCCTAAGGGATGCATTGTGGAGTAGTAATTAGATGATGGGTTGCTAGAGTGACAGAAGCTTAAACCATAGTTTATGTGTTATTCCGTAAGGGGCTAATTTGGATCCATATCTTTCATGCTATGGTTAGATTTAACTTAATTCTTGTTTTGTAGTTGTGGATGCTTGCGAGAGAGGGTAATCATAAGTGGAGACTTGTTCAAGTAAGAACAATACCCAAGGACTGGTCCACCACCCACATATCAAATTATCAAAGTAACGAATGTGAATCAAACAAACATGATAAAAGTGAGTAGATAAAATTCCCGTGTGTCCTCAAGAACTTTGCTTAATATAAGAGACTGTTTCGGCCTGTCCTTTGCTATAAAAGGATTGGGCTACCTTGCTGCACCTTTGTTACCGTTACTATTTATTGCTCGTTATAAATTATCTTGCTATCAAACTATCTGTTACCTATAATTTCAGTGCTTGCAGAAAATACCTTGCTGAAAATCGCTTGTCATTTCTTTCTGCTCCTCGTTGGGTTCAACACTCTTCCTTATCGAAGAACTACGACTGATCCTCTATACTTGCGGGTCATCAGAGAGGTGCTTTGTGATGAGTTTGATCTTGCGGTGTTCAATCCCAGTGACAGAAAGGGACGTGACACATATTTGTATCATTGCCATTAAGGATAAAAAACTGGGGTTTATTCATATTGATTGTTTACTTTGTCTACATCATGTCCTCTTGCTTAATGCGTTACTTCGTTCTTTATGAACTTAATACTCTAGATGCATGCTGGATAGCGGTCGATGCGTTGAGTAATAGTAGTATATGCAGGCGGGAGTCGGTCTACTTGTCTCGGACATGACACCTATATACATGATCATTGCCTTGAATATCATCATAACTATGCACTTTTTTATCAATTGCCTAACAATAATTTGTTTACCCACCGTATGCTACGTTCAAGAGAGAAGCCTCTAGTGAAAACGATGGCCCCGGGGTCTATCTTTATCATATATTAAAATCCAAAAACATCTTACTGCAACTTATTTACCGTTATTTTATTTTTGTGTTTTTATTTACCTATCTATCACTACGCCAAGGTAATGGCAACCCCTTGTTAGCGTTGGCTGCAAGTATTTGTTCTTTTGTGTGTAGGTGTTGTTCATGAATTCTTGTGTGGTTCTTCTACTGGGTTGATAACCTTGGTTCTTAACCGAGAGAAACAATTATCTCTAGGTACTGCATCACCTCTCCTATTCGAGAAAATCCCAACGTAGCTCACAAGTAGCAGCGTCATGGGACTCGTAGAAGAAGACTCTGGAAGGCTTGATGTTCAAGACAAGGAAGTTGGAGATGTGGAGGACCCCCTCCATCGACGTAGTCGACTAGGTTATGTAATCTTAGGGGGGGGGCTTGTATCTTATATAAGATGGGGCCGAGCTAATCGATGGATCATCCTACAATCCTTAGGTATTATATGTACTTTGTACACCCCAATCGCAATATACACTGAGCGGGAATAGGTTTGTTCTCTATCAGAGGGCCTGTACCCGGGTAAAATCGTCTCATGTTTCCACTCCGACCTAATCATCACGCCGAGATACCCTACTGGGAGTTCTGCCGGAATCATCTCCGACAATGGTGGCCCATGTAGGTTCTGCATGGTGAATGCAAAGGTCTGATGGGATCTCGATGAACGCCAGCGTGATCTACGCGTCGAGTCAAATGTTCGTCTTTGGTGCCATCACTCTCGTCGCCGACTCGACCAGCCAGATCGGCCAGGTAGAAAACTACGCTCCAAGCCAGATCATTAGATTTGACAATCTGAAGTACGTGGTGGATTCCCGTGGTAAAATATCATCGATACAAAATAAATTATCATAAAAATAGTGATGCAAAATGGACGTATTAGTATCGCTATCTCCCCACGGCTAAGCGGACCTGACTGGTGGGCCACCCTTATCATACAGGGTTAAAACACCGAAAACGGTACCTATGAGAATGTGATAGTTTTTTTGCATCATATTATTATTACTCGTAGAGTGGAGTTTTTTGTTCAAAAAAGGTTGTAGAGTGATAGTTTTATACTACTCCCTCCGTCCCATAATATAAGAACGTTTAAACGTTCTTATATTATGGGACGGAGGGAGTAGTATTTACTCGTGCTCCTTCATACAAGGAGCACTCAAAAGTAACTTTTGCACATTGCCCTCATAAAGGTAACGAGGTGCTAGATCATCTTGCTAGGCATGCTACTTGTAATATGGTTCGACTTTGTTTGGATGAGCCTTCTAAATTTCTTAGGCATATGCTTGTAACCGACTTACTTTTATCTGAGCAAAAAAGACCCCTTAAATAAATCTGAACAAAAAAGAGTTACTTTTCGGTATAAAAAAAGAAACACATCGAAACAACCTGATCCCATAATAAATGATAAGAAACCCGACGTTGCAGTAAATTTTGATATCCCATGAAACTGGAGCAGTGTCAATCATTTCTTGTCGAAAAAAGAAGAAGAAGATGTCAATGGAAATTATTTGGAGTATTTTTTTTCGAGAGAATCCAAGAAACCACCACCAGCCCGGAGTTCGGCCGCCAGCCCAGCCCAACTCCGATCCCGGAATCCTTTGATGAAGCATGTTTCCAACAAAACCACCACCTGCCTGGACCCACCAACCTCCCGCAGCCTCTGTCCCCACCTGCCATCCACCCGCGAAACCCCGCCCACGAGGAGCCCGCGGGTTTCCCAAGTCCAGAAAGGGAAAGCCGCAAAGCCGGCCGCGGCCACGCACCAACGCGAAGCGGCGCCTACCCGCTCGCTTCCGTCCCCGACTCCCCCTCCCTCCCCATCCTATTCGCTCCGCCGCACCACCCACCCCATCGCCCGCCTCGCGGAATCCTCTCGTCTCCCGCCGCCGCCGCCACCGCCACCGCCACCGCCACCCCGGCCGGAGGCCACGCGCCCCACGCGGCCGCTCGAACCCGAGGTCAGATCCAAACCCCAGCCCCGGGACCGAATCGCGCCGCAGTTTTTCTAGGTTTTGGTACGGATCTAGGGTTGGCCGCGGAATTCCGGGGGCGGGGGCTATTCGCTCGGATTCCTCCGCGGCTCGGATTTCGCGCTCATGGCCGCCGGGCGCCACGGAGGGTACCGGGACTACGAGGCCAGGGAGCGGGAGCCCGACGCCGAGGCCGCCAGGAGGAGCCAGAGCCTCGGCGGCCGCCACCGGAGCGACGCCGACCGCCGCCGCGACGGCGTGCGCAGCAGCGGTGGCAGGGAATTCTCCAACGGCTATGGCCACCGCCGCTCGCACCCGCCCAAAAGCCGCCTCTCCACCAGGCTTGGGGACCGGGAGCCCGGCGAGGTGCTCAGCGGGAGCGCGTCAGACGACTCTGGTGGGAGGTCAGGCAGAGCGGCAGGGGAGAATACCATGTCCAGTTCTAGCAGGGAGGGTGAGGTGGCCGTGGGGGCGCCTGCTGCCCCTTCGCCCAGCAAAAAGAGGAAATTTTCGCCGATAATTTGGGACAGGGATAGCCCAAAGCCGCCGTCGTTACATTCTGGTACAGTGACTCTGAAGGGAGTGGTGGATTCCGCTTCTGCTGATACAGCAAGTGACAAGAAAGTGGTGGAGTCCTCCTCTGCTCAACTCCCTCCCCCTCCCCCGCTGCCACCACAGGGGCACATCCCAGAGAGGTTGGTCGTGGACAATTCACCAATGGATGTGGACCTTGCCGTTGACACTGACAACACTGAGCAGTTGCACGTGCTGCAGGATAGTAAAGTGCTTGAGGTAGAGGAGAGTAAAGTGAAGGAGGAAGAGGAGAGTAAAGTAAAGGAGGAAGAGGAGTACCCAACAATGCGGAACATATCAACTTCAAGGTGGGCAGGTGCTAACGATGACGACGAGGAGGGTGTAACACTGAGGAAGAAGAAAGTCTTATCTCCTGCAGATTCCGCTGAGCTGGGGCAGGGTAAGAAGACTCCTACACCAGAACTTGGGGAGGTTGTGACCAGTGATATGTCTGGACGGAGGACCATGTCAAGGTCATCTGATTCAGGGAGAATGGGTAACGATGAGAAGGAAGATTTGGAATTAGGTAAAGGTGACTACATGGATGTTGATAGAGGGGAGGCTAGTGTTAATGGTTCAGCTAATCTTCTATCTTCTGATTCGGAGGATGAAGTGCGCAGGTCTGAAACCCCTGAGCCAGTGAAGCCGGCTCATCGATGTATCAATATGCTGCAAGGTTGCAGAAGTGTTGATGTGTTTGAGAGGCTCAACAAGATTAATGAAGGCACCTATGGTGTTGTATATCGAGCAAAGGATAAGAAGACTGCTGAGATTGTTGCATTGAAGAAGGTCAAGATGGAAAAGGAGAGAGAAGGTTTCCCGTTGACCTCTCTTAGGGAAATCAACATCCTTTTATCTTTCCATCACCCTTCAATTGTTGACGTTAAGGAAGTAGTAGTTGGCAGTAGTCTTGATAGTATTTTTATGGTGATGGAGTACATGGAGCATGATCTTAAGGGTGTCATGGAGACAATGAAGCAGCCATATACCCAAAGTGAGGTCAAATGCTTAATGCTTCAGCTATTAGAGGGTGTAAAATATCTTCATGACAATTGGGTACTTCATAGGTAATGGTTAGCTTACCTTTTGTTCTTGTTCTTCAGATATTATATAACCAGGTTCCTGTTGACTATGTACTGATGATAAGCATCTCATTTATTTCAGGGATTTGAAGACTTCAAATCTATTGCTGAATAACCGTGGTGAGTTGAAAATATGTGATTTTGGACTGTCTCGTCAATATGGGAGCCCACTAAAACCTTATACTCAATTGGTTGTGACTTTGTGGTACAGGTAGGTCACCAGCCAACATCAGATTCCACAGCAGCGCTTTGACTACCTTAATTTTTCACTGTAAGTTCTTTTATTTATAAATCACACTGATGTCTGTTTCTCCTCCTTGGCTACAGGTCACCTGAACTATTGCTAGGAACAAAGGAATACTCTACTGCTATTGACATGTGGTCCGTGGGCTGCATTATGGCAGAGCTTCTCGCCAAAGAACCACTGTTCAATGGGAAAACAGAGTTTGAACAGCTAGACAAGGTACTCCATTTGTCTTATGTATGCTTTCCATGCATGTTTCACAGTGCATATTCTTCTATGTTGCTGATAGCTGTAGCCGCCAATATAGATATGTATTCAATGATAGCTTATGGTGAAGCTACTTTTCTTGTAGATATTTAGAACACTTGGCACACCTAATGAGAAGATATGGCCTGGTTATGCCAAGTTACCTGGTGTCAAAGTCAACTTTGTTAAACAACCGTATGTTTCTTATACCTGCTTTTGTTGTTTCTCCACCGAGCGTATATGATTGTATGATTGCATCATATTTTGATTTTTTCTTCTTCAGGTACAACAGATTAAGGGATAAGTTCCCAGCTGCGTCTTTTTCTGGGCGTCCAAACCTATCTGAAGCTGGTTTTGATCTGTTGAATAAGCTCTTAACTTATGATCCTGCGAAGGTAAAATTAATACTCTTCAATGGGACTCGTGACTACACGAATCTTGCGTTGTCAATTTTTTACGCTTCATTGTCATTTATATTACTGACTAAGGACACTTGATTTTCTTGTACAGCGTATATCAGCTGAGGCTGCATTGGAGCATCCATGGTTCAGTGAAGTACCTCTACCTAAGTCGAAGGACTTCATGCCAACATTTCCAGCTCTAAACGAACTGGACAGGTGATTTTTTTACCCATCAGTTTTGCATATCCTATGCTTATAAACATTTATGTTCAATAGTCCATTTATATCTAATGCTATAAAATATCAGGCGTACCAGACGGTATATGAAGAGTCCTGATCCTCTAGAGGAGCAACGGTTGAAAGAACTGCAAGCAAAAGGCAACCGTGGCCTTTTCGGCTGAGCTCAAACCGCTTGCTTGGGTTTTGTTCGTACTGACTGCTATACTTCAACCTGAATCAGTGAGGTCAGATGGCTTCTGAGGTGAGATGTGCCATGGACATGAAGTATCAGATCTTCTTGGTGTCTTCAAGCAACTGACAGCGTTCTTTAGCAGGCTTTGTGCTTAGTGACTTGTGGCCCATCATAGAATTCTGTTCACAGGATTAGCACTCCGACCAGATTGATCATGAAAGCAGATCTAACCTGCCTCCATCGTAAGGTTTGGCCTGTTGGCTTTATTGGCTACACACTTTACACCTGTTTCACCTTTGGAACCTATGTATGTAAAATATTCCAGATTGGTACGTTGTAAACAATGCTCAGTGTGTTGGATTTACAATAAGATTATAAGAATCTATCATTTTTTTCTCTCTGCTCCTATAGTGCTCTTTTCTTTTGATTTTTGCATTTTGTTTGCAAGAAATGAAAGTGGCGAAGGGGAAGGATGCCTTTAGCTTTTCTTCAGGAAATCATGGACAGTAATACAACTTGAAAGGTAAATATATTCAAGAGTTGTTTACCTCAAGAGATGTATTGCTGATTAAAAATTGATGAATACATGTTCTGAAAGATCATCTATACCCAAGGGCTCTGTTTTAGTATTCATAAAGAAACACCGTCTTAAATCCTAATCATGTTCGTAGCGCTAAGAACTCCCAATTCTGAAAAAAGGTGAAAAAAAGAGAATGATTGAGAACGAAGAAAAGTGCAAAACATGACTTGAATGAAGACCCAGCCTGGATGGGTGTATTCTCTTTTCCACCTTGACGATGTATACAAGTCAGTGTTAGTATCGAAGTATCTAACAGACATTGTATTATTCACCAAGAATTCCTTTATCTGAGCTGTTCTTCCATGCCTGTGCGTCATATGTCTATCGATTTAGGATACGAGTAAAGAATGTTATGTTTCTTTAGTTACTCTTTGTGATGTTTCTATTTTATATTTATCGTGCCATTTTGACATGCATGTATCTGCCGAGCAAATTGAGAACATGAAGGGAGCACTTGGATTTCATTTCTATCCGGTAGTTAGTCTAAATGTCCGTTTTACAAAGCTGGTTACTTGCCCATGACAAGATCAAAGATCAGGGATATCTCTTCTTGAGCAATGTGGTTCGCTTGTTAAGTTTTTCTCCCACGTCTTCTTTGTGTGTAAATTTGCTGTTCTGTGCTATTGGTAGCCAAAGATGTACTCCATCGCTATGTTCTTTGCATTTGGTGATAACTACTTTTACATTCTGCTCAAGTACTAGAGAGTTGGTTGGACTTACTACAACTGTTCTATCTGTGACACGTCTGCAGCTTAAGCTGTGGCTGCTTCAAGAGGAAGCTTGATGGCCGCCAGCTTGTTGTACCTAAGTGACTAAATTTTGTGGGAGGTCTTGAAGTGTATTCATCTGTTACTTGAGTGAGCCATAGTGGTCACTGGTCAGTTTACTATCCTTCCTTGTTTATTAATGCACCATATTCATCCAACTGTTTTTTGGGGATGGTCATCTGTTATTTGTTTGCATGGAGTATGGTTTTTGTTGAACTTTCATTTCGTCCTCTCCCATATGGCCGACACTTTGTTTTCTATTTGAAATATCTCCTTGACTGATGTAAATGCCACAACATTGGCATTGTTTACTCACCTCCACGAAATTGAGGCTATTTAGATTAGTGAGGGAGGTCAAAATTAGGATGAAATACTAGTGTTGCGTGCTCTCTGTTCCCCACTTTGGTTATGGTAGCCTGGTTGTTTTGATGGGCCACATTTGGAACAAACGTTTGGCATGCTCTTTGGGGATGCTTAACTGCTTATGGTTCTCGATGTTCTTGTAGTAGTGTTTTCTTGTCATGGGTTTACATGAGCTGCCCTTGCCACTACAAATGTTCAATTGCTACTTGCCACTTCATTCTGTATGACGTTGGTGATTCGGAGTTTTGCGTTGTCGAATGTGATGATCAATTTCTTGCCCATTTGTTTGCCTCTTATTTTAGTTTCAGTTCTTGCGGAAGATATATCAGCCCATCAGCAGGCTTGAGTATGTTTTTGCGATATAAACATCTGCGTAGTTGCAGTGGTGTCGGCGCGCAGAATAGAAAGATTGCAGTGGTAACTACGGTCTATTCCCTCTGTTCGCAAATATAAGATGTTTTACATATTTCAATATGGACTGAAATGAATGAACAAAGACACTAAAATGTGTCTATATACTTGAATCAGAAAATGGTTAGAACATCTCAGGACCGGAATTGAATTACTGACAGAGGGAGTACATTATAACCTATGTTGGTAACTGAGAACTCGTAGAGTGGGGTTTTTGTTGGTGGCTACACATTGAAACTTTTTATTTGTTTGAGTTGACAAAGTTTTGTAGCACTGTTTTTTTGTTGCCTGGACCTCACGAATGCCATTACATCACGACTAGGACAAGTAATATGGATCGGAGGGAGTAGTAGAAAACAAAGCAACATTTGTTGGCAATGTTTTAGGAAGTTTTTTTTTTGGATTTCACTGCTTATCCAATGTGCATGTGTTCCCGGGATCAGAGTTGCACTTCTGAGGCTCGTCACTTTATGGAAGAGCAGGATGCTTCTTCTAGCATTTACACCCGACCTCATGCTCCTGGTGAACAGTAAAATCATGAAAAATAGAAAAAAAAAAGAAAAAAACTTATGTTTTTTTTGTGTTAACCTTGGACAAAATGTTCTACTCCCTCTTCCCTGTAATATAAGAACGAGAAAAGGTTCTTATATTATGGGACGGAGGGAGTATTGCTTGCAAAAATTTATCAGGAACGAGCATTCCTGGAAGTTGTGGCAAAAAGAACAAAATCGACATTCCAAAACTGCTATTTTTGAAATTATTTTGGAGTATTGATTTTTTTTTTGCCATGACTTCCATTTTGTGATGAAAATTTGCAAGGGTAGAAATATTTTGTCAAAGGTTACCAAAAAAATTCAGCACTTAAAAAAATCATTTTCTTTTGGTTTTACTGTTTGGCTCATTTGAGCTTGCGAGCAGAAGAATGCTTTCGGCTTCTTTACTTTTACTAGTCCGTGATATAAGGGCCTCTTTGATTCGCAGGATTTTAAAAATGTAGGAATAAAAAAAGTATAGGATTGGGGTGGCATGCCAAATTAAATCCTATAAGATTAGCAAGGAGTGTTTGATGCCATATGGAAAACAAAAGGAATTATAAAAAAAGATTGGAGTGGATGTTAGAATTTTCATGAAATGTAGTATAAAAGATCCAATAGGAAAAATTTCTATGGTATCTAATCCTATGAATCAAAGGACCAACATAGGAAAAATTTCTAAGGATTTCAATCGTTCAGAAATCCTATAGAATTCCTTTGAATCAAAGGAGCCCTAAATAGTTCTCTTGTATAACAAGCAGCCTGATATCGGTCTCCTCGCTGGACGTGAACTGCCATAGTGCCATTCCGTGTCTTTGTTGCACTCCCCGCTGAACCATGGGTTCGAGTCTTCTGGATTGCCATAGTTGAGTAATCTTGTTGCTCACCACCCATTGGCGTGGGCTTGTGTAGACTCCATTATTTGCAGGTCGACGGGGATATGACCAAGCAAGGAGCACGGGATGACTCAAGCAATACTACTCCGCTGCAGCGCACACTCGATGTGATATTATTAATGTACAAATGTAAATAGCTCGTTAATTAGTTAAGATAATCAAATACTTCCATGGGTGCATATATATGTTACTGAAAGAACGTTTCACGGTGAGACAGTAAAATGTGGTCGTTGGGCGGTGCACGCTCCCCAGAACCACAGTGTTTCTCGCCGACATGACTCACTGCTGTCGATAGAGTAGATGTGGTTGTCACGTGTGATGCGCACGTGGTAACCAACCAAAGGGCCTCGCTGGAACATATGGTCCCGGCAGTTAAAAAACATCGAGACGTACAAGCACTTCGCGGAACACTATCTGGCCTGCACCGATGAGGCGACCACCGCCTGAGCTCTCTCCCGCCGTCTCTAGTAGGAGTAACTCCTGTCTGCCTCGGGTTTTGGGTCCCGTCGCTCATCCGAAGTTCCTAGTCATCCGTCAAAGCAAAATTACCGCAGAGGGCTCCGCGGTGCGACCCACCGAGTACTGTTTAGATCAGATGTGTTTGTACATTTCCCCTCAAAAAAAAAAGATGTGTTTGTACATTCAACCTTCCCCTGGAAGCCATCCGTGGATCAGCTAAAGCAAAGAAAAAAAAAGTTCAATTTTTATTAACGTGGTAGGTCTGTAGACGCGGACGGCCAAAATTGTTGCAACTGCTGTAATACATGTTGAAATGTAGAAATACATCAACGCATCTACAGACCTAGTCTAAGACAAGAATTTTGGGGCGAAAGGAGTACTACTCAAAAGCGACGGTTATATAACCAGTAAAGGCCAAACCACTAATTTATTAACGTTTGGCAGTCCTGGTTTTCTAAAGTTTTATTAGGAGCATAGTATTTTTTTCCCCAAGAACCATGGTTTAATTTTTTTCTGTTTGTTAAACATAAATACAACTGTTTTATAAACCATGGTATCTTCAATATCATGCTTTTGGCAGTATTTGAATGCCTTTATTTTCCTCGAGAAAAACTTTGGTTTTTCAAAACTGAATTATTCATTGACCAAGCATTGGAATATTGAGGTTTTAGAATACCGCAGTTTTAAAAACTTTGCTGCCAAACTGGCTCAAGATTTTTTTTCTCTGATATGCAATACAACATACGTTTTTTTTTGGCAAAACCTTGTCCTACATAAGAAAAAATGTTTATTTACCAAGGGATTTTTCAAGTGCCTAACTAGAAAGTTTTAATGCAACATTCTAGGGAAATAAATCGGAATGTCCAAACCTTTCCCCTTCTACTTTCCTTGCGAAAGGGAAGTGCTCATTATCCCTTCTCTCCCTCGCCAAAGAGGCCATAAGTCCACTCCCCTTCCGTCCATTCCTCTGGCGATGGGAGGTTGGGAACCCAGGATCTTCATTTACGGTTTGTTTCGCGACGTCAATGATGCCGTCAGTGAAATATCATTCCCCACCTCCATCTTTGCGGTGATACTGCTGCCGGTGGAACAAGGTTCCCTCGGCTTCGTTCTACCTTGGCAACGATGTCCTCGACAACGACATCAAGCAACCTGTGAGGATGGTTTGTCTCTACCCTTTTTGGGCAGTGTATCTAGCTTGTCCGATGCAAGTGACGACGCCACCGGTGGAATGGGGGCCCCCCAACTCTGTTCCTACCTTGGTGACAACGTCCTCTGTTGACACACGAACACGTCACGTGTACCCTCGACGGCGGGGGTGATGCACCGCAGCTCATGTCGAAGGAGACCCGACCGACAGCGCGATACGCAAGACAGTCGACGGGCGCTTTTGCGGACCCGAAAATCCCACACCCCCGGGAGGGACCCTGTCAGGGAGTGCGGCGGCTATGGTCTGCCCTAGGTCGATTCGCTCGCCCCTAGAGGCTCGGGATTCGCAGCTCTCAAACACGAAGAACAGCGAAGAACGGGATAGAAAAACGGTGGAGAGATAAAACATAGATGAAAAAGTAGTATATTGATTTGTTCGATTGTGTGTTGTTCAATCGGCAGTCACCCCTTGGGTATATAAGAGGCGGATGGACTTTCCGTGCAAGGAAAGGTTAGAATTCACGTCCAAAACCCTAGTTTGGGTCCAACTCGGAATCTGGACTTTCCAAAACTGTTCGGTTTACAACCTAGCAGCACCTTGCAGGTCACTTTTGAGGAAGTAAACGATCTTGGATGAAAACGTGCCCAAAAGCAATCTTGACCGTTTCGACGAGACGAACAACTTTCATGTTGAACGTTTTTTGATTAGAGGCCATCTTGAGGGAGTTTTTGGCTGTTTTCCGAAGTTTGCAGCAGAAAAATCCAAACCCCGGACGGACATGCCCGGAGTGTCCGGCCTACAGCAGAAAAATATGGAATCCGGAGGGTTGCCTCCGGAGTGTCCGGCCATCTACTGTAGCAGCATCTTGTAGCGGCCATAACTTTTGCATATGAATTCGGATTGGGACGATCTTTATATCAAAATCGATCGTTTCGACGAGACGAACAACTTTCATGTTGAACGTTTTTCCATCCGAGATCATCTGAATAACCTTTTGAGCCCATCTTCAACTTCTCGTCCGATTGACTATCACAGCCTCCAACCCGGCAAGTTTTTCATCCGAGTAAGCTTTCCACACCGACAATGTTTCTATCCGGCAAGCTTTCACACCGGCAAGGTTTCACTCCGGCAAGGTTTGTACTCCGGCAAGGGTTTCACTCCAGCAAGGTTTGTACTCCGGCAAGGTTTGTACTCCAGCCAGGGTTCCTCTCTGACAAGGTTTCACTCCGGCAAGGTTTGTACTCCGGCAAGGGTTTTACTCCGGCAAGGTTTATACTCCGGCCAGGGTTCCTCTCTGACAAGGTTTCCACCCCGGCAAGAGTTTTCTTTCCCACTCAGGGCCGGCCCGCGAAGTGTTGCCTCTAACTTTTGCATACGAACCCGGATTCTTAACCATGCCAAAATCTGGTGTCAACACATGCCCCCCTGTTTTTCGGCAAAGCTTGTGTGCTAAAAAATAACTTGTACTGTGTTTGTTCTAAGGACGATGTCAACATCCCATCGGCCATTTATTTTTCTTAGGGCGATAATTATGTATCGGCCATTGCCTATTTAGGCTTCTTGCCACACACTCGGGTGGTATTTCTTCAAGTACTTGCCATTGAGAGCTCGAGGTAACAACGCCCCTTGTATGGATTCCACCAAATATGAATTTCCGGGAACTACTCTTGCGATCCTAAAAGGACCTTCCCAACTAGGAGACCACTTCCCAAATTTTCTATCTTTTGAACCAATCGGTAGAATTACTTTCCAGACGAAATCACCAACTTGAAAATTCTACGACTTGACTTTCTTATTGTAAGCTCTTGCCACCCTTAACTTGTCTCTCTCTATGGCCTTCAAAGCAGCCAAACGTTTATCGGCAACTTCGTCAATGTTATCCATCATTAAGTTATAAAAGTCTACAGCCGATAAATCATTTTGCTTGGCTATTCTCAAAGCATTCAAATTTACCTCCACCAGTAAAATAGCCTCTTGACCATATACTAGCTCATATGGAGTTACCTTCGTAGCACCATGCCTTGAGATCCTATGTGCCCACAAAGCTTCAGACAACAACTCATGCCATCTCCTTGGATTATCCTCAACCTTCTTCTTGATGAGCTTGATTAAAATTTTATTGCTAGACTCAGCTTGTCCATTGGCTTGGGCATAATATGGAGATGAATTGAGCAATTTTATGTTATAAGATTCGGCAAATTCTCTAACTTGGTGTGACATGAAAGAGGAGCCTTGATCTGTAGTCAATGTTTGAGGAATGCCGAATCTATGAATAATATGCTCGGTTATGAATTTTATCACCTCCGTATGTGTCATGTTCTTGAGAGGTACTGCTTCAGACCATTTAGTGAAATAATCGGTTGCCACCAATACGAACCGATGCCCCTTTGAGGAAGACGGATGAATTTGTCCAATAAAGTCTAAACCCCATCCTCTGAAAGGCCACGGCTTGATAATGGGATGTAACATAGCAGCAGGAGCCAACTGAATATCACCAAATTTTTGACAAGCTTCGCACCCTTTATAATATCTGAAGCAATCATTAATCATGGTCGGCCAATAAAACCCAGCACGTCGTAATAACCATTTCATCTTGGGAGTCGACTGGTGAGTACCACAAATGCCTTCATGTACCTCTCCCATAGCAACTCTTGCTTGGTCCTCATCCAAGCACTTTAAGATAACATCATCAACTGTTCGGCGATAAAGATCATCATCCCTCATAGTATATTTAAAAGCCATACGCCGAACAGCCCTGTCCACCCTTTCACTCGGATTACGTAAGTAAGCAACAATGGGCTTCCTCCAGTCGGATTTGTCACCTGTACTAGATTTTTTGTTAATGACTGAATTAGTGGGTTTTGGTTCGGCCTCTTCTATAATGGTAAGACAAGACATCGGACTTTGAGAAATATGAAACATGCCATGATCAACATGGTATCCAGATGCTTGCCGTGCCAACTCATTTGCTTTCCAGTTGTCATGTCTAGATATATGTGCAATGCTAAAACAATCCAAAGTAGAGATTATATCTAAACATTTATCAAGATAAATATTAAGTGATTCGTCCAAACACTGAAAGACTTTGGATATTTGCTGCACCACTAGTAACGAATCACCATAAGCCTCAATATATGTAACACCTATATCAAGTAATATCTCTAGGTCGAATAACAATGCTTCATATTCAGCTTGATTGTTTGTGCAAAAATATTCTAAGCGGCATGAGGCTTCAAAAACAGCACCATGAGGCGATATATAAACAATACCAACACCTTGGCCATTGCTACAAACTGAACCATCAAAGTATAATCTCCATGGTACTAATGAAACAAGGTTCATATCACTATCATGCTTGTTATTAACCCGATGTTCAACAATGAAATTAGCAACAAGTTGGCCCTTCATAGATTTTAGAGATTCATAAGCCAAATCATATTCAATCAAAGCATAAGCCCACTTGCCAATTCTACCACTAAGAATTGGCCTATGCAACATGTATTTAATGACATCGGTCTGACAAGCTACTACGCAAGCACTCGGCACTAAATAATGTCTCAATTTTGTGCAAGCATAATATAAGCATAGACATAATTTCTCAATAAATGTATACCTTGTCTCTGCGTCCAATAAGCGGCGGCTCAAATAAGTGATGGCATGTTCTTTTCCTTCGGTCTCTTAAGTTAGAACAGCACCAATAACTCCTTCCTCTGCTGCAATGTAAAGTCTGAAGGGTTCCCTATGCTTGGGTGCTCTCATCACCGGAGGAGTGCACAAATAATTCTTGATCATATCAAATGCTTCTTGCTGTTTTGCCCCCCAAGTGAAATCATCATCATTCTTTAGCCAAAGGATAGGAGTAAATGCATCAACTTTCCCTGATAGATTAGCTATGAACCTTCTCAAATAATTGACCTTGCCAAGGAACTTTTGCATATCTCTCTTGCATGTTGGAGCCCCCACTTTCTGTATGGCCTCTATCTTTTTGGGATCAATCTCTATGCCATCTTCATGAATAATGAAACCCAAAAACTTGCCAGTTGACACGCCGAATGCACACTTTAAAGGATTCATCTTCAGTCCATACTTTTTCATTCTTTCAAAAGCTAAACGCAAATCGGCCAAGTGAGATTCAAAAGCGTTCGATTTGATAACAATATCATCAATATAGACTTCAAGTATGACACCGAGTAAATCATGAAAAATCAAATTCATAGCCCTTTGATATATGGCGCCAGCATTTTTTAATCCGAATGTCATTACTGTCCACTCGAATAAACCAAGAAAACCAGGGCAACGAAAAGCTGTCTTGGACATGTCCTCTTCGGCCATAAAAATTTGATTGTATCCGGCATTACCATCTAGAAAGCTAATAACCTTATGTCCAGAAGCATCATTAATAAGCATATCAGCTATTGGCATAGGATACTCATCTTTGGGTGTAGCCCTATTCAAATCTCTGAAGTCAATGCACACCCTCAACTTGCCGGATCCTTTCTTCTCCACTGGGACAATGTTAGAAATCCACTCGGCATACCTGCAAGGTCTAATAAAATTAGCTTTAAGCAAACGACCGATCTCTTCCTTGATCCGGTCATATGTTTTTGGATTAAACTTTCTGGCCGATTGTTTATATGGTCTAAAACCAGCCTTTATAGGTAACCGATGCTCCACTAGCTCTCGGCTTAAACCTGGCATCTCATGGTATTCCCATGCAAAGCAACAAACATATTCTTTCAACAGCTCAATCAACTTAGCTTTATGATCGGCTCTTAAATTTGCATTTACAAATGTCGGCCTAGGATTTAAACCATCTCCTATATCTATCTCTTCTAATGGATCGGCCGATGTAAAACCTTGTCCTAATTTATCCATATCATCTAACTCTTCTATGGACTCATACATATCGTTCTCATTGGACCGATATTCTACAAGTCGCTTTTGTAACCAATCCGAGTTAGGATCCATTTAAACATATCATACCTTGGAGCCGATTGCACTCAGTCGGCTTTAAAGAGACAGGCACGAAACCATTCTTGGTTGCGCTGAGAAAATCGAACTCTGACAAGTCACGTCCCGTCAAGCAAGTGGCATTTGGGTGTTGCCAATCCACCGATGCCTCGGCTA